GAGAGGTTAACATTGAAATCACTTGGTAGAGAGTCGGTGGAAGAACGTATTGCAAAGACCTTGGGACGCATGGGACCAAGCATTCTTTTGAGCGCATTAAGTGAAACCATCGCGTTTGGCCTTGGTGGTATAGTCACAATGCCAGCCGTAAGAAATTTTGCACTTTACGCTGCGCTCGCAGTATGGGTAGATTTTTCCTTACAAGTCACAGTCTTTATAGCATTTTTATCATTGGATGCCAAAAGACAAGAAGAAGATAGGCTGGACTGTTTCCCCTGCATCAGCATCGAAGGAGCACCTGGTCGGATAGATAGGGAAGGCACGTTACAAAAATGGATGAGAAAGTATTATGCACCAGTAATATTAAATCGCAAAGTCAAGATTTCCATAGTTGCGTTTTTCTTGGGACTCTTCATGGTCGGATTAAGTTTGGTTCCTCGTGTGGAGCTAGGACTAGGCAAGTTGTATTTCTTGTTAACATTGTTTCATACAAATAAGGTAAATCGAGTGCCGATTTTAAAAACAGAGCTTTCTAACCTAACGTTTAATACTAAAATCTTTAAATCAGATCAACGAATCGCGCTCCCTAGTGATTCCTATCTGGTAGATTATTTTGATGATCTGGACGATTACTTCCGAGTTGGCCCGCCAGTGTACTTTGTTGCCAAAAATGTGAATACCTCGAAAATTCAAGGGCAGCAAGCTCTGTGCGGAAGGTTCAGCACATGTTCACAATTATCATTGGCCAACATACTGGAACAAGAACGGAAACGACCCAAAGTCTCATATATTGCCGAACCATCTGCCGTGTGGATAGATGATTTCCTATATTGGTTGAATCCGTCGTTTGAAGCGTGTTGCAGAATAAAGAAAGACTCGGATCCGACGGAGTTATGCGACATCTATGATGATGATTGTGATGTCTGTTTCCAAGATCGCGAACCAAAATGGAATATAACGATGGATGGATTTCCGCAAGGAGAGGAATTTTCACGATATATAAATTTATGGATCAAGGCAACACCCGATGAACTTTGCCCATTGGCAGGAAAAGCGGCTTACGGTAATGCGATCCGTTTTTCCGAAGATAATAAGACCGTAGTAGCTAGTCATTTCAGGACATTCCATACACCATTGAAAAGTCAACAAGATTACATATCGGCACATCACTCAGCAAAACGTATTAGCAACTTGATCCAAGAAAAAAACCCTGGAGTGGAAGTGTTCCCGTATTCGGTATTTTACATATTTTTCGACCAATACGAACATATCGTTCAACTGGCCACGGTAATACTATCGCTTGCGTTCATATCAATTTGGCTAGTCACAGCATTACTTTTGGGAAGCATGTGGACAGGGTTCATTGTAATGTGTCATGTTATAATGATAGTCACAGACGTGCTAGGAGTTATGGCGTTGTGGAATGTTTCTCTAAATGCGGTTAGTCTGGTGAACCTTGTAATATGTGTAGGGATAGGTGTAGAGTTTTGCGTGCACAT